GCGGCACCGCTCTTCATAGATAACAAACGAAAAAAGCGATAAGTCGAGTGCGATAATGTTTTTGTTAAAGAAAATGTTTATGAATGCTCAAAGTTCGAAAGCACAATATGATTAACGATAAATACATAAAAGAATTAGAGTTTAAGATTACGTATGTCGATAACATAATTTCTGTTACCCCCGAGAACATATGTTTATCAACGATAAGTTTTGTATGTTGTATGCAAACATCTTGTTCTCTGCGAAATTATCACGGAACCAACTTTGGTTCTATAATTTATTAAGACATTCGATTTCCGATTCTGATTTTTAAAGCCGATACTTGTTTTTCTAAAATAAATACTACTTTATAATTGCTAAGTATTTCTATTAAAAGTATTATATTTCTGTTTCTCATTTCTAAAGCCATTTTCGTCACAAAACTATACTATTTTATAATTAATGAGTATTTTTCTTTTTGATGTAAATTAGCCGATACTAAATTCATAAATGAATACTTTCGCCACAAAACTATGCTATTTTTCATTTTATGAGTATTTTTCTTTTTGATGTAAATTTGCCGACACTAAATTCATAAATGAATACTTTTGTCATAAAACTATACTATTTTATAATTAATGAATATTTTTCTTTTTGATGTAAATTAGCCGATACTAAATTCATAAATGAATACTATCGTCACAAAACGATGCTATTTCATATTTAATGAGTATATTTCTTTTGATGTAAATTTGCCGATACTAAATTCATAAATGAATACTTTCGTCACAAAACGATACTATTTCATATTTAATGAGTATATTTCTTTTTGATGTAAATTTGCCGATACTAAATTCATAAATGAATACTTTCGCTATAAAACTATACTATTTTATAATTAATGAGTATTTTTCTTTTTGATGTAAATTAGCCGATACTAAATTCATAAATGAATACTTTCGTCATAAATCTATGCTATTTTTCATTTTATGAGTATTTTTCTTTTTGATGTAAATTTTCCGACACTAAATTCATAAATGAATACTTTCGTCACAAAACGATACTATTTCATAATTAATGAGTATATTTCTTTTTGATGTAAATTTGCCGATACTAAATTCATAAATGAATACTTTCGTCACAAAACGATACTATTTTATAATTATTGAGTAATTTTCTTTTTATGTGAATCGAATTTGAAATTAGTATCAAAAAATTATTGTTTTAAACTTCTCAAAATATTTAAAATGATGCTAATTTAACAGCAATAAATACAGGCGATAGAATTTATCATAATATTGTAATTCGATCTGTAGAGGTTTTTCTTGCACGTATGTTTGATTTTGATGAAAAGTACTCAATATTCGATACTTTTGCCACGACACTTTTTTGGTATCGATATTTTGCCTCGATTCTTTTTTCAGTACTCGGTATCGATACTTTGCCTCGATACTTCTAACACTATTCACATGTGCTTTATTCAACTTACGATCAACAAAATTATTGCAGTAAATGGAGAGGAAAAAAGCGTGTGTCGGAAATAGGCTAATCTTTATCTTAAGTTCAGAAGTGAAAAAAATTTGCACTTCGTCACCACCCACCGAATTAATTGAATTATAACTCTTTTAATTCTGATTTTATCAGTACTTGCAATACACTATTTTAAAGGTAATTAAATGAGCTACAACTTTCTCTATCATAAATTTTACCGTAACTTCTCTTATTTTGAAATGGCAACGGATTGAAGGATCGAATGACACTCTGGTTGGACATTATCAATATTTGTGTAACAGAAAAATAATAAAAAGCAATAATTGGTCAGTAAAAGACCTTGAATTTTCATTTATATATCTTTAAACGTATCTTTTATTTTTTTAAATAGTTTTTTTTTATGAAATCATGAGTTTTTTGGAAATCGTTTGCACTAAAGTTATGGTATTTTCTAGAATCCGTCAAGATCTCTTAAACCAAGTTGATTCTAGAGGGAATACGATTATTTTTAATTTTGGTGGAAATGGCACTCAAAAACTATTTGCTTCAAATGAAAAAATATTGTAATTACTTCTTTTATCGATATCCGACGTTAATTTGAAAGACATACAATTGCACCACTGAAAAGGGATGTCATCCCCCCGGGAAGTGGCAAATGATTCTAAATTATTTTTACTTTTAAACTTGAGAGTAAGATGAACATAATTCCAAAAGTTCATGCAAATTGGAGCACATTAAATATATTCAGACTCAAAATGCTCAATTGTCTTGAATAATTATTTCGTATCCAATGCCAAACATATGAATTTTTGACACAATGAAACTTCTAAATAATTGTATGAATAAGTAAATTATTTTTGTATCGTGATTTAGTAAAATAAGGCAAAACACGACTGCATTTAAAAGTTAAAAAATAATAATCAGTCAAAGTGAATTATAGGTTAAGTTTGATGTGCGGTCACTGACAGACGCATGCGCAGGCTGCATCACCTATCAGATGTTGACTGTAAATCTTATATTATTTTAATTTTTGGCACGTCTCAGCTGCTTTTTGGCAATAATAATGTAGTCATTACATTTTTCTTATTCATAATCATAAATATGTTATATTTTAATACTGTCTTTGTTTTCATTTGTTTTAATGTCAAACCATGCCTTAAATATTTTCAAGGGCAAACAATTATAAGCGGTTTTTTGTAATTTTTTCCATTTATTTCTGCAATCTAACTATATTTTTATGAATCTAAAAATTATAGAAAATTTCCCGAACAAACTTCAGGAAGATTCATGAAAATCCGAATTATAGTTTAGGAGGATTAACCATTCATACATAGTTACAGAAAAATATATATATATATATATATATATATATATATATATATTGTCTAATATCGGGCATGACATCAATAAAAAACATAAATTTCTTTTAAAAATTTATGTGACTACCATACGTTCCGGCGTCATTCAGTGGAAACTAAAAATAAAATTTCAAAACTAAAATGATTGAATTGGGAAAAATTATAAAGTGTGTAAAGTTCTTATAATTAGTTAATCTTATTATTAGTGTTAAAACAGAAAATTCAATTATCTATGGTAGCAGGATATGGTAATGCACTACACTATGTAATATAAATATTATACTTGTAATTAAATAAAAAAATCACAAATAGATAGTGTGTAATATATGGGTTGTTGTCATCGATCGGAAATCGAAATTAAAAAATTTTACATTTCTTCAGGTTTTGAAAGTTTTTGAACATTTTGGCATACTTCAAAATAATAGATATGTTAGTGTGTGTGTATGTATGTATGGATACAAATTTTGTCCACGTTTTCAGGCGCACGGATCAACCAATTTGAATGGTTCAAAAAACATTCGATTCTATTCATAGGGAGATGTGCTGATTAGTTTTTGCCGTTTCAGAGATACGGGGCAAAGAGTGCATAAAATAGAAATCAAGAGAACGAGCATCCGATTTGAATGATCTAAAAACATTCAATTCGTAATGACGGGGAGAAGTGGTGATTAGATTTTAGCAAAGGCAGGTCCAGCAGTTTCGGTAATACCGAGCTAAAAATAGCAGTTTTTGAGAGGACTAAGCATCTGATTTGAATGATTAAAAAAACTTCCTGCTTGTTTTAAAAAGTAATTGCTTTTGGAAAAAAAACAATTTTTTTGTTGTATATCGGAAATAATTTCGATTTTAATTCTAATTCTGGCTAAAGTTCTAAAGCTCACTTATACTCTTTAAATGAATAATTTTAACTTTGCAATTCAGTTTATATAACTCTTATAAATATTAGACAATGTTAAGTATTTATAATAATCTATATGAAAACATTTAATATTTCTCGAACATATTTTGTTACGGTACGGGAAGTTCCAGCAACTTGCCTTAAGGTTCGATGCCATACACAAATAGTTTTGTGTTATTTTTGTGAATATTTTTACTAAGATTCTACACATGTATAGAACTAATTGCAAATCCTTTGGCACATTTTTATTGTTTTGTGAAAAGTTTGTAAATACTATGTCAATAAAACAGATTTGAGTAGCCCAGGCTGCCCAGCATGTTTAGTTCATTGCGTTTATTTATTGTTTTAACGTTAAAACTAGTTAAAAATGATTCTTCGATAATTTTTCTTTTAAAGAATGTGTTCTTCGAATTGTAGTACAGTAATTTTTAAATAATTTGCATAGAGCTGAATATTGATATGGGCATTAAATAAGCCATTAAATAAGTGTCAAAGACCGATTCGACTTCCAAAACTTGTTCTAAAAGTACAAGATTCTGGTTTTCTCCATATTCCACTGAAACTATAAAGTTTTGTAAAAAAAATGTTTTTAGAATTATTTTTTCGTTAGAACCGTCGATCGTGAGATATTGTAATCATTGTTCGTGAGATTGATATTGAAAAGTTGAAAAATTCATACACTTTATAATATACACCCTTTATACGTCATCGAACGTGTAATTTATATAAATATTTATCAGTTGGTTTCTGTTTAGCAAAAATTTAATGAGTCTTTGAAGTATCAAGCTATAGTGCCTCTAATAACCTTCTTTTCCTTGAGCAACACCTACCAGCAAGTTTGTACATTTATATTGAATAATGTGCTGAACATTATTACATTATTGTATTAAGCACATAAACTAATATCTGTTTCTGTATGGAACGGTTTGATCCAAAATGTGGAATAAATCTCAATTGCATTTTCTGTAGAGAATTTTATAGTTTACAGATATTTCAAACAAGTTTGTCTGACATTAAATATAGTTTTAAAGGAAAATAAGGTAAAGAAGAATTTTGATCCTGTGACCTTGAGTAAAAATAATCGCGGAGGTAAAGCCGATGAGGACTTTTAACATTGTATTTTTATTGGCTGTACTTATTTTTAATAGTTCAAAAAAAATATATTCTCGTGTAAAATCTCCCTTATATTAAAGACGTGCGCTTATAGTATATATATATAAAGTATTCTAAAAACATTAGACACTTTGCTGAAATTTGGGCTGCAGTAAATAAAAATGCGTATAGTGGTAATAATTTATTATTAATTAGCATTGATAATTGCCAGGTTTATGATTTATATCAGTAGGTGTATACATAAATGTACTAAGACATAATTGCCATATTTTTCAGATTGTAAAGGAACTAGTTGCTGATAGACAAAAGGATGTTTTAAAAATCTTACCTGGATTGACATGTTTCATAGAAGGCGTAAGAGTTTTAATGTTTCAAGTAATTATGGATTTTTTCATGTTCATTTTATTTAGTACTTTGACATTTTAGGTAAAAGGCATTTCTGTGGAGTCTATACCTGGTTTAAATGAAACTGGTTGGAGGCCACTTATGAGAACCCCTAGAACAGGGCGAATTCAAGAAGAAAATACCGATCCCGATAAATTGGCAGTGGCATTGAAGCAGGTTCTTGTTGCTGTTAAAAAACAGGACTGGGCGTGGCCTTTCTTAGAGCCAGTTGATATTCAATTAGCATCAGATTATTATGATAAAATTAAATATCCAATGGGTGAGATTAATTTTTTATTCATTTAATATAATTATATTATATTAAACATTTTATTATAAAATTTGACGGCAATGATTTATTATCTAAATATTTCACAGATAATCAATTAACTGGTTTAATTAATAATAATAAAATTATTATAACTTTTTGATTTGTAAAATTTAATTCTTTATTATTACATTACTTACCAGGATATAACCATTATCGAAAAGTATCCGCTGTATCTCACGGTAAATCCAAGAGTTATAGCGTTTTTTCCAAAAATTTTCTATCCTAACATGATATTGGAAACAAATACAGTTTGTTAAATGTAATTAAAATGCTTGACATATGTACTTGTTATATAAGTTATATGTACCAAAACTTGTGACTTTTAGAAAAAGTATGAAAGTGAATAAAATAAAACTGCTTTATTCCGTAGATTACACTTGTAAGATTATAACAGATCAAAATTTTTAACAGTAGAATTTCATTTATATAAATAATCATTTTTTATCATAATTCCTTGATAAATGTACATAAATAGATAACAAAAAGTTTGATTATTTGAATAATTATACTTTAACTTAAATTATTAATTACATTTATTCATTTGTATGATATTTTTTTCGAAGTTGAAAACTTTCAAAACAAACAAAAAATAAAAGCTATTATTAGTAAAAGTCATTATCATATACTAATAGTTTTTTTATCAAAAAATAAGTATAAATATAAATAATAACAAAAAATATAAAACATTAAAAAGGTTTATTTCAAGTTTAAAATTATCAATGGTATTATAACTTAAATATTCGAAATTATCAATCAACAGATAAAGTACCACCATGAATTTCTTTTAAGTCTTCTCTGTGATTGCGGGTATATATTTATGTGGAGTCCTTGCTCTTTGAAAAACTAACAGAAAAACGGTTTAAATTCATACGTAGCTCTAATATTTACTGATGTTGATATTGATTGTGATTTTCATAACTTATCATAATAGTAGAAAGCTACGGTATTATATACGGTAGGAGAAAGTTTTTTTTTATTTTTTTTAGTTACTATATGTGTTACAACCGCTAAATAATTAACATCTAGTAACAGTAATGAACAATTATATAAATTTAATAAAAAGAGCACAAAATAAAGGATAGAATTTTCAATAAAATGATATCCGTAGTATGTTGATTTAATATAAAATAAAAGCAAATAATAATAATTATAAAATTAATGAGAAAATAAGTAAAATTTTTGAATAATAAAAATAATACTAGAAAAACAATAAAGTAGAATAAAAACAATAAGTGAAAGATAATAACAAATATAACAAAATAACAATATCAGAAATAATAAGATAATAATAATAATAATAATATAATAATAATAATATAATAATAATAATATAATAATAATAATAATAATAATAACATAATAGTAGCATCGGTAACATTTCATTCGAGACACTTTAAATGTTATTAATTTAATAACCAATTATATATCTAATCTATTATATTAATAATGTTTTATTAATATACAGGTAATCCCCGTATAATGCTCATTAAAAGTACCGCGTTATTTTGAGCTACCGTGTGATATCGGGTTTACTCGTATTTCTATAAGATTTTATATCACAGAAATATTTATCATAGATAAAAACAAAGAAACAAATGATTTTCTTATTTCTGCAATGTGCTAGCAGTAGTAATAAAAGTTAAGATATAAAAATAACCTAGAAAACGAACGCCAAAGAAGAATCTTATAAGTGTATTTTTATGAAATGTTATAATAACATATGCGAGAAATTAGATTTTATAGTTATATAGATTTATAGTTTTAGATAATATAGATTTTATAGTTTTCTAGCCTGACTACAGCAAATCCTTGGCATTTTAACACTTTTTAGAGCCATTTTATATGAAAAGAGCAACATAACATAGCGTTGCTATAACATTGGTCTATTTTATGGCAGAATTGGCCCATTAATCATATATATATATATATATATATATATATATATATATAATATAATTACTAGCTGACCCGGCAAACGTTTTGCTAAGTAAGGTATTTTATAAACAATTTCTAGAGAATCAAAAAAAAAAAAACTTTTTGTGTAAGGATGTGTTGTTTGAATGCTATAATATACTAATATATTATACAATGAGGTATTATAGAAACAATAAACCCCATTAGTTTGTCTATATTTTATTAATACAACCAAACTGAAAGTTTTATACACTTTCTATAGAAAACATGGCATAATCCATTCCAAGTTTTTTTTTGGTCTTTCGACTAATATAGTCATTACAAATTCCATTTAATCGATTATTGATTGCGTTTCAAATTTTTCAAAATTTTTTTTTGGATTCTGGAAAATTTAATAAAAAGTATATATGTAGAACAGGGCAAGGCACAAAGGTCCAATTTGACTTTAAGCAAATATAAATTTTATTATGAAAATCAAACCAATTATATCACAACAAATGACACATTTCAAACGAACAATTATCTGACTACGTTCAGTAAAACTACCAGCTACTTCATAATTTTGTTTTTTTTGCTGTCTTTCAAAAAAATTTTATCTAGATTTTTAGCCTATAAGGGGGTAACTTGGAATGGCCAGATGGCAAAGGTATTTTACAAATTAATTACATTTTTAACTAATTGCTAAAAAACTACCAACGGAAGAAAATACTTTTATTATGGATTTTTAAAGATTACCATTTATCTCCCAATACCAAAGTCATAAGAATCAAGGTTATAGCTGGTTATACATCTTTTTCCCTTTACTTTCAAAAAGTGTTGTTAAACAATGCTTAGATTTACTGGTTTTTGACACTTCGGTCGTGGATCTTTATATATTACTATCCATTCTTCGATAAATTCGGGACATTATAACTGGCAATAAGTTATTCGACAAAATGTACCTTTGATCGATTCAAAATTTAGGTTCTGAATTTAAATAACAAAAATAAATAAATAATATAATCTAGAAAATGTTTTATAAATACCAATGAGTATATAATTATACAAATGAGTTCTTTCAGAGCATCGTGGTTTGAGAAAAATATGATTTGTCAACCATACTGAGTTTTATAGTTTGCTTCACTGTTTATACGAATGGGCAATGGGACTATCATAATATTATAATTGTTAATTATTTATTTAAAATAAATAATTTTATTATTGATACCCTACAAATATCAAATTGTCATCCATACGTGATTACATAGCTGTCATTTGCGTTTTGATATTCCAAGTTGAACGGGAAAAAAAGTATCCTATGTCCTTCTCCTGGCTCTGAACTACCAACTTTTACCAACTTTACTAAAGCCAATTTTCAGTTAAATCGGTTCAGCCTTCTTGAGTTATAAGTGAAGTAATTAATACGACTTATATATATATATATATATATATATATATGTATATATTATATATAAAAATAAGTTGGGTTTTTCTTTCTGGCGATATAACTCCAGAATGCACAAACCGAATTCGACGATTTTGCATTCGTTGGAAAGGTCTGGGGCTCCGTAAGGTTTATAGCTGGGTTATAATATATGAAAACGAAGAACTAATACTCTATCACTATATTTAACATAAGGTAGCCAAGTAATTTCAACCTTTTATTGTCCAATCAAAGCACATTTGCTGATAATATATATGCCAATTTGTTGTAAGCACCTGAAACATTTTATAAGATATGTATAAAGAAATTATGAATTAACAACAATTAATATATAACTATTTACATGTTTATTACAAATTTTGAGGCTATGTTAAGAAACTATATTTCAAAATTTTGATTATACTTATTGCTGATATATGGAATATAAACACCTCAAATACTCTATTTAAATACGTATAAACAAATATACATAAATACCTAAGTATATAAATAATTACATTCCCATTTTCAAGAAATAAATTTCCCCATCGTCCATCTAGCATCGCTTGCTATTATTAACTTCCCGTAGGGCAAGTTATAGTAATCGCAAAAAATCGAAAATGAAAATTTTTATATATCTTTATATTTCAGAGGTTTCTGAACATTTTGGCATACCTTAGAAAAAATGGATGTATGTGTGTGTGTGTGTGCCGAAATGCTAACTCAGTTTTTAAGCGAACGGTGTGTCCGATTTGAATAATTAAAAAAACATTTTACTTGTATTGACAAGATGAAGAATTGGTCAAATTTTCATGAAGGCAGGTCTAACGGTTTCGGAGATCTAATAAAAAAAGTAAAAAAATGCCATTTGGGGGTCAAAAATGATCATTAGACATATGCACATCAAATTATCAGATATTTTATAGAGATTTTAACAATAAGTATGTTTACGCGTTAGACGGCGACGCGGCGCTTACGCGCTTTGATATTTTGTCTTTATGCAGTTAAAGCAGTACGATTGCTTTGAAAAAAAGTTTAGATCTTCCAAAATATGTCAAAATAAAGAAAAAAAATTTTTTTTAAAAAAAAAAGAAATTTAAAAAAAAATTATTTTTTTTAATACAATTTTTTTTTAAAAAAAAGTAATTTTTTGTCCAATTTATAGTTTCTCAAACATCTTCTTTTTTCGAAGTAAAATTTTTTCAAAAATGTTAATCGTTTTTAAAAAAAAATTATTTTTGGTACGGGAAGTTCCAGCAATTTGCCTTAAGGCACGATGCCTTAATTGCCTTAAGACAGAATTCCACTTACAGCTAGTTAAGAATTAATATATTTGCCACTTCGTATTAATTTTTCGTCGTGATTAAAAAAATTATATTATTCACGTAATAATTTTCAAATAGTGGTGATTAAAAAATGCATGTTAATTCATAATAATAATAAATGCATATTTGTATCAAAACAGAAACACCGAATGACAGTTGACAATCGAATGTAAATGTCATGGATGAAATCATTGATAGTATCATAGATTGAATAAACTACATGGACAGTTTATAAACAATTAATTTTGAATTAGAATGAAAAACGGGATAAAAGTATTTCATATGTTTCTCCTGGCTCTAAACTACCT